AGATGCATTTCGAGGTAGACTTCAATATAAATTTAAGTCTTGCTTTCGACTCTTCTTGAGTATAACGGGATCCATTCATACATTGTCCATCCAATGCATGTGATTGTGTGTATTTGTTTGTGTTTACCTCTTCTAAACTCCTATGCTTTAATGTGACTTTAATATGACCCTTGAGCTGGTTGGTATCGGATACCTTGTGATAAGGCCTAGTCACACCAGTCGATGCGCATAGGCCCCTCAATTTTTTCACAAGCTCCTGTCTACCGTGACATTTCCCTTCACCAGGACCTAAGGCAGAAATACAATATCATGGGGCTAGAGTCAGAAGTTCCAGACAGACCCCTATGTCTGCTTGAACTCGCATTGAGCATCAAAATTACAAGTCTTCGTGACGGCTCGTTGTATCGAAGACAAAGTTTCCGAAACTTTTCGATAGTGGAACGGCGCATAATTAATTATGGATAGGTATTAGGAAAATATATGATCATTCATGCTCGGGCCTGAAGCGGAATTGTAGGCGGGTACAAAAACTAAAGGAATCTGGTGTAAATAGGATTGTGGTCTATTTTTGAGGATGTAAGACGGTTTTGAAGGAGGGTGGGCGCGATGTGGGGACCAATGTTTCAGGACCAGTGTGGGAATCAACTCAGGCACCCTGACTACTAAAACGACCCGTTCTCAACCCACCCTTTTACTTAAATGTCAATGACCTGCCAAAAAGCCGCCGCCTCGGCAATGTCGGTACCTCGTGTTGCCAAGGTCCATTCGGTCGAGCGGTGTCGACGCCTCGATCTTGTCAAACAGTACCCTAGAAATGGATCGGAGCGTGACCGTGTGTACCATGGCCAAACTCGTGTCTCGAAGGCCACACTGAAACTACCTCACTGCACCTTCCGCGGCCTACTGTAAAAACGCCTAACGTCTACCCGACACAAGCCGGGCTCGAGGCCCACCGGGGGCCAGAGTCGCGATGGCTAAACCATCTGGAATCACAATCTGGGCTAGCAACTAAGTCAAGGTGGCTGTGCTAGATTGTGGCTAAGGGGCCATTGGTTCAGTGCATGTTTAGGGCGCCTTATGATGGGGATTTGACCAAACCGACCACAGCACCGGTTACATACGGATGTATCAAATCACACCGGCCTCCGCCATATTGGCCATTCGTCAAAGCCTGTGCCCAATTTTCGCTAGATTTGACTTAACCTCGTTTTCACAATTTGATTGTAGTATCAGAGAAACATCTAATGGCTTACCCACCCCGTACCGAAGTCGTGTTGAGCGGACAGTTGAGTGGGTACAGTCTCAGACACTGCGCCAGCAACCAAATCAGCAGAATCAGTGATAAAGGCCAAGTAGCGCCAATCCTCTTGGCCAATTTGCTACTGTTCGTTTTTGGCCTTTCTCCTTTCCCCCCTCCTGTCTTCGTATATTTGCCACCCCATGGCTCTGTATCCTCCTCACTAGCTCCCGCATCAACTATCCTTTCTACTACAATTCCTCACCTCGTTTGGTCCAATAAGTTCGGGGTGTGCGCCCCTCTTAGTGAATTCATTGAGGCGTAGTCACCTTCACCACCGGTTTCCCATCCCGGCTTCAGGGCGTACATATCCCAATTGGTACTGCCAGTCGGCAAAGCTTTTCACCATACTTTTTCATCTGGTCATCTTGCTCTTAAAAACACACACCCTATCCTCCATCGTCCCAACCACAGTAAGCACCAAGTCCGAGGAGTTATTTGCATGACTAGCCTCGAAGGAAAAAAGAACATATGAAGACCAAGATGGTATGGCCCCCGGTATGGTCGTAGGAAAGTGCCTGAAAGCCCCATCGACGTAGACTGTAAAAGAGTGATTCTCACAATTGCTGCCCTTTAACGTCCATCTGGCCTCGAAAGCTTGATCTTACAGTCATCACCCTCTCCTAAACTCACCAACTCAGACTTTTCATCTTGCCCCGGAAGAAATTTCGTAACTTCTACCAAGAATTAAACATTTCCTATTGCAAGAGTGAATTACAAATGCTTTCTTTTGAACCTTCCAGCTAACATCAACATTGATAAACTGGTCGAATTAATGATGTCATCACTGCAGCTAAAACTAAGTATGTGAGGCCCGGTCGCCTAATTCGCATCCTGATTGCATAACATATAAAGGTCATATGCCTTCTTGGTGTTTTCAAAGATGGATGAGACAGGGCGACCTTCGCTTCTGGACACGAAACTTCAATTCGCAAAGAACATTAAGTAATGTTCACCAAAAATAAATCTTATTTCGAGATAATCATTATTCTAGAATGTAATAATAATTAAAGAGTGGCGACCAGCGTAATCAGGAGAATAAACATAACAGATATGGAATTCTGGTAAGACAAATTGGGCATGTATACTCCATTGGTTCTCGGAGGTGGGTATGCGAAAGAAATCCCTCAAATGAAAATGACGGATGGAATGATGATCAAATCGAAAGATGGGGATTATGAAAGGCAAACTTATGTAAAGTATTAATATGTCTTGCCTCCTGACAACTGACCCGAAAGTTATGATTGTCATTGAATAAATGAAACATTCTTACGGTCTTGAAAGAAGAGATAACAGACTTCGCAGAGCAAAATGGATAGCTCGACAATTTCTAAATCTAAGAGAAATGAAGATTCGACGGAAACATGACTACAGTGGTCCATGCAGTCGATGTTACCATTATAACGACGCACACACACACACGAGCTCTCAAAATCAAATTGAACAAAGTCCAACCATTCGCCTAGTTGTTTCAGAAATGGAGGATGAAGTAGCAAGGCGAAATGATGGTTCCAAATCAGGAAAGAGTTAAATGTGCTTGCTGTAAGCATGAGGTCTACACGTTAACATCAAGAATTCCGTGTTGAATTGACTTA